GACGTTCCACTTCCGGGTACTGTATTTTTCTGGGCGACAACCTGATCTCATGGTCTTCAAAACGCCAGGCCACCACTTCCCGTTCCAGTGCAGAGGCAGAATACCGGGCTGTGGCAAATGCAGTTGCTGAGACTTCTTGGGTCCGAAATCTTCTTCTTGAGCTCCAGCAACCACTACGACGCGCCACCCTCGTCTTCTGCGACAACGTCAGCGCCGTCTATCTCTCATCGAACCCAGTTCAGCACCAGCGCACTAAGCACGTTGAAGTCGACATACACTTTGTGCGAGACAAAGTAGCACTCGGCCATATCCGAGTCCTTCACGTGCCCTCCTCTTCACAGTATGCTGACATCTTCACCAAAGGACTACCTTCTCTACTCTTCCTCGAGTTTAAGTCCAGTCTGGGTATCAGACCCCCTCCTCATCCGACGTAGCTAGGAGCATGTTAAATATATTCTATATTTAATGTAAATATATTGTTTCCTATTATTGTCTCCTACCTTGTATACGATTAGGAATATATTGTTTCCTATTATTGACTCCTACCTTGTATAGGATTAGGAACCCTTGTGTATATATAGACATGTACTCCCACATATTCAATTAATGAAATTAACCTTTCTACACTTATTTCTATGAATTATCTTAGCTAATTGCCTTACTTTGCTTTGATTTTTTTTATTTTTTATTTGGCTTTGCTGCTTTTTCTTTTCTTTTTCTTGATGAGAGCACTCTTCTACGTGCGTATATATATGCAGGGAAAGCCGAATATAGAGGAAGGGCATATTTGTTGGGAGAATTTAGCTAAATAATAATACAAAAAATAATGACTTTTACATTGTAGTACCATATGTTTTTATTTCCCAATGTAGTATCACTGGTTAATGTTCAAATAAATATTCATCACCACTGGACAGTGTTCAAACTAAATGTCCACCATCACTGGATATTATTGTTCTCGTCACTATACATTATTCAAATATTATTTTAAAAAGTAAAAAAATTTAAATAATACATTGGAAATGACACTATTTAGTACAAATTTCACATATTTGTTTGCCTTACGGGCTGTGAATGTGAAACATTTGACTAGACTCCTTGAGATCCTACATGTGTAGTTTTGACTCTTTCAAAAAATTAAAAGGGATGAAATTTTGCAGTATAAAAATGACTTTTATTACCTTTATCTTTTGAAAACTTTCCGAATTTCATTTCATTACACCTGATATATAATATGAATCGAAAAAGTCAAAGTAGATAAATATACGAAGTTACTCGCCGCCGTTGTTGCTCTTAGCATTTGTAAAAGAATGGGCCAAAATAATGGCTAGCCTTTATTGACCAGTATCTCATGTGATTTGATAAATGTGCACTGTTACTTTCATTATTTCAAAACTAACTTCATTATCCTTCATGGTTTTGATATTCATCAATCAAATCTATACTAACATATCCTTCAAACAATAGGTAAATAACTCTTGTCCCCTATAGTTTTGAAAATAGGCACAAACGTCCTGCTCTCTTTTCTTTATTGTTTTTCTTTTTCTCTCTTTTTTCATAATTTTTTTTTAAGATTTTAAAAATATTTTTTATGATATTTTAATTAATAATCAAATTTTCGTGTGTTTGAAGCAAAAGCAATTAAACTAAAAGAATTAACGTACACTTCGTTTGTCTAAAATTAAACATTTTCATTTTTTGTCCAAAAGAAGTCCTTAGCCATTTGCAGAGCCGGCCAAGGGTGGGCCGAGCAGCCCTACCGGACCAGGCTCAATATTTTAGGGGCCCAAATTTTATCAATATTTTATAATATATACAAAATTTAAATATCTTCGGAAGGTTCCAAGATTCAACCCTTAGTATTATGGCAAGGGACACTTCATCCACTTGAACTACTAATCTTATTGTTATATTAGTTACCAAATAAAATATATAACAGACTAGTTTTTTGAATAAAACTTCCAATTATTTAAAAAAAGAAATACAAGTAGAAAAATAACTTATTTTTATGTTTTTTTCTAAAAATTAATATGAATACTTATACCCAAAGAAAATTCAATAAAAAAATTAAAATTTTTTTCATCAATAAAAATTAAGAAAAGCTTATCAATGATACTTTAATATATTAAAATTAATTTTGTCTTCTACTTTTTCTTGTTTCAAATAACTAAATATAAGTATGGAGTGTTAGTTACATGTATATTATAGAGTATAATCTAAAAACACATTGCCCGGACAATCACCACATGGAATTAAAGTCAATGTTAATTAGTGCGGAGAAAAATATTCCCCATCATTAATTAGTAGCATATGTTTTTATTTACTAATATAGCATCACTACTTATTGTCCACTGGTCATTGTACAAGTAATGTATATTGCCATTAATTATTGTTCAAACTAAGTGTCCACTATCACGAGACATTTTTGCTATCACTAGACATTATTTAAGTACTATTTAGAAAATAAAAAAGTTACGTACTACATAAGAAAATGACATACTCCGTATTTAAGTATCTATTTTTTGTGTTCTAATTCTTCACTCCTAATATTTTTTTAACCTTTTCATTTTCTTTTAATTTATATTTCTTTCAACTCCTTCCAATTTTTCTTATTCCTAGTTTTTATAATCTCTTCCAATTTCTTCTAACTTCTTCTAGTTTTTTTAACAATGACTAAAATACTAATATAGGTAAACTCTTAATAATAATAATAATAATAATATTTTAATAATAATAATAATAATATTTTAATAATAATAATAATAATATTTTAATAATAATATTATTATTTTAATAATAATAATAATATTATTATTATTATTATTATTTATTTTGCATTATTAGAATAGAAAAATTTGATGTAGCGTCGCAATTTATTAGTAAAATCCCCTTGTTCTCAAATTAAATTTTAGTTAAATAATACTCCGTAAATGGTTTTTGTAACTCGTAATGGTTCTCCCTTTTAGCTTTATCTGAAGGATTTTTTTAATACTATAGTGATTTAATTATTTTGTGAAATAAAAAAATCTAGTGTTTTTTTTCTTATGTCAATCATTCTTTTTCATAAGTGGAGAAGAAATATAAATCATGGGAGACTAGTAATTTTTAATCTAAAATTAACATCATTAATCGCAGATCATTTTTGTTATTATTTTGATTTACAAAGGTGATTATTTTTTTGCTTTTATTGAGATGATGATAAATAATAA